TTATGAATACGTATTGTGATTACTGTGAATATAATTATATGACCATAATTATATTACAAATATTACGCCAAGGGAAAAAAAACAAAAAAAAAGACACGGAAAAGACTCGGCATTGTAATTAATAATTCGAAAATTGACTGTACTTTTTGCATATTCGTCAACTGTTTTTCGCGTATATGTATCCGGCCTGCATACGCCACGGCAAGTACCATTATGATGTGTCATGCGGCTATTTTGTGCAGATTACATATCTTCTATTCTTAATTAAGTAATTTATACAAAATATGCTTTCTTTAAACTCTAGGTGTCATTTTGACACAAAGTTGATCTGTACTATAGTGTACCATTTTGTTTGAAATAAATAAATTTTAAGTTTCGCTGTTCATAAAAAAACTATAGAATGATATAGAATGATATAGAATGATACGTATAGAATGATATAACTTAGAATGATGTAACCAATAAAAAAAGAAGAAAAAAGAAGAAAAAATTGGGATAATTGGGATATATTATCAAATAAAAATAAAGTTATTTTTTTCTTTTTATATTTTTACATAATTTGTTTATTATACAAATAGAGATGAAACCAAAAAAGTGCAAGCCCCGTAAATTTAATGCGATGAATATTCTTCTTAAAAGTAACCGAACTAGAAAACTAACTGGCAACAAATTGAACAACAAACTATTGGCTCAAAAAAAAGGTGATGGTGATTAACAAACTATATAGATTATATGCTACATAAAAATGGATAACGGCCGAATGCACAAAATAACGGCGATGTCGATAACATATAATGATTAAAGTTGGGATCCGATCCTACTAGGGTCTTATCTTGAAAATTCATTTGTGGTGGATCGTTCCATACAAGTATCATAACTGTGCTACACTTAATAGTCAATGCATCTAAACTTTCGTATTTATAACTTTATTAAAACTATTGGATCAAATATTTCTTCTGTGAGATCAAATATTTTATGCGCTTGGTACTTTGACTCTGTAAATACAGAATGCGATGCAAAAAACACGCAGATAACTTGGTGTAAAACAAGAGTTAAATAGATAAATAATCATGTAAGGGACCTGAATGTCCCCGCATTCTGTGAATAAATTAAAGAAAATGTAATAACTGGTATACCATATTCCAGATAATTTCTAGTTTTGGTGACAAATATTTGATGTTTGAAAAGCGATGCTATGTTTGATAAATTTTTCTACGAAATTAAAACATTTCACGCATTAAAATAAAAATTAATTGTTTATGTATTAATGTTTAAAAAAGACCTTTTAAAGTTCTTTAAAAATTCAAAAATTCTGCATAAAAAAAAAAAATAATAATTATAATAATAATAATAATAATAATAATAATAATAATAATTTTTTTTTTTACTGTTACCAAAGATTTTTATTTAGAATTCTTTAAAAGAGTTCATTTTGTCTCGTAACATTATATAATTACCAATTTTGATGATTTGGATCGTTTTGTTAAAAGGCATGATCATCGTCTTACGTAATTACCAAGGAAGAAGTGGAAAGAATGTGGAAATAGGAAAGGATAATTATCATTTTCTTTACCTTGTTTGAGGAAAATCATTTCCGACATTTGCCAGGATTGGTAGTCAAGTTTATCGCAAATATCAGATGAAGCAATAAAATAGACTTTGAAACATGTAATTGGTTCGACGTTTTACAATTTAAGAATTTCAAAAAGTGATCACCGGAATATTGACATATTTATTGAATGAAATATACACAGTAAAACTATAACTATAACGACTATCAAATATATCAGATATATCAGATATGTATAAATCGTATCAATGTATAAATAAAAAATAAAATTGATTAAATTGAATCTTGTTTTAATATTATCGTTAAATACGTATTATCTAATAAATTATATTTTATAGCTTAATACAGTAATTTATCTTTATATATTGTATCATTATATTTTTATGATTATGCAATGAAAATAACTCGTAATTGCTTTTTAAGCCTTCGGATTATCTGTAAAAAGTTAAACGTGGTATCAGCATTAGTCTATACTATTTCCGAGTATACATATTTATTAGGTTAATAAACTTTTTTTTTAAAATGATCAACTATACAGAGAGTAAAAAGAAGTAAAAAGAATAAAATATATAAAAGAATATATAAAAAATATAAAAGAATATATAAAAAATAAAAAAGAATAATAAAAGAATTATAGGAAAAACTTATATATTGATATATGCGTTCGTGCAGAAACTTTTTTGAAAGCAAATATAAAAGGTTGTTTGGCGAAAATTTTTTAGATCACACTGTTACTTTTAATATTGAATGTAACTTTACAAACCGAGGCATAAACAAACATCACATCCAAATGTCAATTGCCTACGTCTAATTGTACCAATAGTAATAATAGCAGACATATTTGATTACATCCTGGTAACCCTAGCGCTAGGCATCATCTAAGCTTTTTTGGCGTGCGAATTTTGTTCATTATCAAAATTTAGCTCGTGACGCATATATTATTTATATAATCAATTGCAAACAAATCAAAATTAAAAGTTCACAAATAGGAATTTGTTAATAATGTTATAATGTTAGAATTGAGGTAATGATTTGTAGCCAATTATACATGGGATCCCAATCCACTTGCCACGTTGTTTTTTTGCCGCATATAATGTGTGACAAAAGTATTTTTTAAGATTACATGTAGATCATGTGATATGGAAATATCATAACCGGTGATCATTAACAAGAATTAATCAAGTACCTATTGACAATAATATGACATACACATGTAATTTTTTTTTAAACTAATTACAGAATAATTACATACTTATCACAGACCAAAATTGGTTTTGAAGTTGATTTGAAGTTGATTTTGAAGTTGATTTTGAAGTTGAAGTTGATTTGAAGTTGAAATTGGTCTTTTCCTTGCATACCGGTATATACAACATACCGGTATATAAAACATATCGGTATATACAACATACTGGTATATACAACATATCCACTATATATGCTTCGAATTTGTAAGTTTAAACCTTTCAACGGACATCTCCGTATTTTCCGTTAAAAGTTCGGTTCGAATACGTAAGTTATTCGAATACGTAAGTTATCAATGACCTTTATAAGGTCGATTAATGCAGCATTCACACAAGAATCAACAGCTATTGCTTAAATTTCACTTAAATGGATACGATTATCATTTGGCTTTGTTCTAGTTTGTTCCTTTTGTTCCATATCTAATCATACGCAGTGAATTCCTAAGAATTCAGCTTAAAATTTTTATGTTAAGACAAATGTGGCGAACAGATCAAAAAATTTCTATTTGCGTCAAGTAGATTAATTCAAGTTCTCCGATTAAATTGCATTAAATTTTGCATTAATCATTAATCATTACACTAATCATTACGTATTAATCATTAATCATGTAGTAATTAACGTAATTATAAGTATCATAAGTATCGTAATTATTATAATTATCGTAATTATTTATAATTATCGTAATAATCGTAATTATTATACCGTAATTGCCGTAGAGAAACCTTTTTATCCGTAAGATTCAATACGTAAGATTCAATACGTAATTTACAATGTTGATGTCGTAATCAATAGACTAATAAATAGACTAATAAACAGAATAGGCTAATAAATAGACTAATAAACAGAATAGGCTAATAAATAGACTAATAAACAGAATAGGCTAATAAATAGACTAAAATATAAACTGCGCTTTCGGCAAATTTATTAAATCCGAAAAAAGTGTGCGTTAGATGATTTTGGTGTTAGTAGTTACACCAAATCATTTTATATGTCATATGTTTCGATTTTCAAATACCAGCTGAGTTTGTCACCTGACTAAAAAGCCGAAACATATTGAAGTCCTTTCGTAGACAACAATTCTCTATGAATTCAAAATATTTATATACCTTCCGAATATGCATACATATCATAGCATACACATTTCACATTATTGAATTTCCTGAATTAATTCTTTTTATTTTATATATTAGTTCGCTAATTATTTTTCGAATATAAAGCTTAATATTATCTCTCATAAGCTAAATGTCTTTGGATGCCACTGTTTCTTTTTATTACAACATCTTTATATAATAAAAACATTAAATTAAGTATTGGCGTAATTATTAATGAAAAATTTGTCATTATTTTGCTTATATTATAATTATAAGGATGATATAATTATGTTTGACAATATATTTTTAGACTACACCTTTGATAGAAATGCATTTACGTTGTATAAAATAAATGCTAGTTACATTATTCCATATAAATCACTGTAAAATATATGAATTGTCTTGTTGTAAATCATTGAAAATGGTAAAATCTGTCCCTTTTTCTTCCGATTGTAATATCATATATCTTTTGAAAGTTTATTTAAGGAAGTGCATTCTGCCCAAATTTTGAGGATTTGCTATTTCCTTTAATTCTTTGTTATTTTCTTTTCAGAAAATTGAAATTGTATTTTGCCGATAGTATAATATTTCTTTTTTTTCCTCGTAAAATTATTTAAATTATTTAAATTGTTTAAATTATTTAAATTGTTTAAATTGTTGAAATTTGTTTAAAATTGTTTAAAATTGTTTAAAATTATTTGATTTTCATACATATACTCCGGTTTCAATAATAAATACCAACTTGTTTCTCTTTTATTTATCTTGGACTCCGAATTGGTTTATGAAACATTTCTTTTAAATTGCTTTGGATTGCTTTGGATTGCTTTGGATTACTTTTGATTACTTTTGATTATTCGGAATTCTTTTGAATTATTTTGAATTATTTTGAATAATTTTGAATTATTTTAATTATTTTAATTATTTTAATTATTTTAATTATTTTAATTATTTTAAATTTTTTTAAATTACTTTAAATTATTTGAATACTTTTCTTTTTATATAAACGCGCAAACTATCTTTCTTTTGGTTACTTTTTTTTTTACCAAATTTTTTTATATAAAAAATTTCATTTACGACTAACTTTCTACGAAAAATAAATGTCTTCTTGTTGTAATTCACTTTCTATTGCAACTCCACTTCTTATTTCACCACCCCCTTCTCCTCCTGATGAATGCACTACGCATTTCCTTAACGACGAACAAAAAGTATTGCTTAATGGAGAGTCAAGTCAATTTCAACAATCAGAAGGTTTAAAAAAGATGGATTTATCAGAAATAGCAATCACTAATTATGCTCCAGGAAGTCAACATAGATTTAGGATGAGAGTATGTGACGTTCCAAAAGAACTTATGGATTTAATTAAAGCGTCTGAAAAAATGCCTCTTAGAGTCTCAAAAACTACTGCTGCGCTTGCAACTGGAAATTTGTCCGCAAGCTCCGACATCATGGGTAGCACAAAGGATGCAGTCTCCATATGCCCCAACAATGGTCGTGTGACTTCAACGCCAAACCAAACACAATCTACAAATATTGACGATAGGGGTTCTATTAAGAAATTGGTTGATAAGCGTCGTAGAATTAGAAAGAATCCTTATCCTACTAAAGCTCCATCAAAATCTTCTCCAGGAATAACTTTAAAGGTGGATGTTTTTACTCCATTTAAAGAAGATCCTCAAGCGTTATTACATAGCGATGATCCACCAGCATCAGATCCTAGCACTCCATTATTATTTTCTGATATATTTTCATCAGCTGAGGAAACTTCGGAATCAAGTTCACGAAATAATAACAAATTATTAAATAAAAGACAACGAATTAAACATCGAAATAAGACCAAAAGAACTGTATCAGAACGTAAACGTAAAGGAAATAGTCTTGCCAGAGTAATGGCAGACCGTGGACTTTTAGAAGCAACATTTACACCGGTTGCAATTGAAGGAGAAGCAAAAACTATTCGTATTCCACCACCACCACCAATGCAATTTGAAGAATTAATGGAAAATATTGAACAATTAGATCTTGATACTAATTTACTTGATCGTATTAATCCAAAAGTTAATTGGAAAGGTCAACCACTTACAATTTCACATTTACCACATTATAATTCTTTACATCCAAAAGAAGCATATGTTGCATCAACATTACGACTTACACCAGTTCAATATTTAACATCAAAAAATACATTAGTCTCATCAGCTCGAAGATATACACAAAAATCACTTCCATTTAGAAAGAGTGATGCACAAAAACTTCTTCGTATTGATGTTAATAAGGCTAGCAAACTATGGGAATTCTTTATGCAAGTTAAATGGATTTAAATTAAATTCAACATTAAATTCAACATTCTGAAATAGAAATAGCACAGTATGAATTATATATATATATATATATATATATATGCTATAGGATTAAAATATAAGCATTTATCGTATCTAATTTTGATTGCATTTATTTTGTTTTTTTTTTCTAATAGATACATTTTTCAATGATTACAAACAAATCTATATTTTTTTCTTTTTTTTTTATATCGTAAATCAGAGATAAATTTGTAAATAATTTAGCATCAATTTAGAGTTTATAATTCATTTAACATGGTACTTGTAATTCTCGTCCCTTCTCTGTACAGCAATCAAATAAACAACACATTATTGGGATTTTTTTTTTTTTTTACGGTAAATCTTTGAGTAAAGATCTTTGAGTATGATCTTTGATTATGATCTTTGTGAAATCTGTGAAATCTTTGCAAAATCTTGAATAAAAATCTTGACGAACGTAAAATAGTGACGTATGTAAAAATAGTGACGTACGTAAAAATAGTGACGTAAAATAGTGACGTACGTAAAAATAGTGACGTACGTACGTATGTAAAAATGGTGACGTAACATATCAGCATATCAGATATTGACCGTGACCAATTACTGTAAATCTACAAGACAATTTAAAAAATATTGATATTGACCGTGACCAATTAAATCTATAAGACTTAAAAAAATAAGACTTAAAAAAATAGAAGATTTTTTTATATTGTAATGGGAAAATTCTTATTATCAATCTAAACATTAAGAAAGGTAAATGTTACCTTTATGATACACTATCCCTTTTGTTTTTCATTACAAGCATGTAAGTTTCTAAATAAAGAGATTCGTGTATACAGTGTATTGTGTAGTAAGTATAAATATAGGAAACAAGTGATTTTTTAAGCTTTCTATATATGCTTGTTTATAAAAAGATCCGAATTCGAAATTTAAGTATCCAATAGGAATTTTTACATATCTAAAGTGTTTGCCTTCTGGACCCATCCTTTCACCACGAAGGTAATATGTAATCTCCAAACATTTAGATCATCCATCAAAAGTTTACTGTTACTGTAAACATCGTTTATTTTAATAGAAGTTTTGTACCCAAATTTATTTTATAACACTATTCTTTAAATTTTTTTCTAAATTTTAAAACGGGTTTTCGGTTAAATGTGGAAACATGGAAATATGTACAACCGAACTTAATTTATCATGTTCATTTACAATAAATACATCTATTCCTTATTAGGTTCCGTAAAAAGACGCATACAATGCATCTCAAAAAAAAATGCGTAATTGTGATTTGTGATGAAAAAAAAAAAATTTTTAGTGTACTGTTTAATCGTAATGATATAAAAAAAAAAATTCATAGTATCAATTATTAGGTATCAATTATTAATTACAGCTAATAATTTAGTTTAATGCTATCATAACAACATAACAGAATAAGAAGATGAATAGAATGAGTTGTAAAAAAAAATACTAAAGTCACTAAATTATAAATTTTAGAACGAAATTAATTTATTCAATGATGCTATTTGTTATCATTTATTCACTTTATTCACTTTATTTATTCACTTTTATTATTCACTTTTATTATTCACTTTTATTATTCACTTTTATTTATTCACTTTTAATATTTTTAAAAATGCACAATTTTCTCGTGAAGCCATGTTCCTTTCTCATGTAATGGTGTGCATCCTATCTTTCCTAGATTTTCCTTTGACCCTGACTATGAATTATTAAAGTTAGGAAAACTCGGAATTACGGAGCAAACCGATAAGCTTGATATCTATTTGTCAATCGTATACATTTTGAATATAGTAACTATAGTAACTACGTACTATATTCTCCTTATCCTTTGATAAAATTTTTAATATTTTTAAATTTTATTTTTAAATATATATTTAATGTACAATATCAAATATGCAATATTAATATGCAATATTAAAATATTAATATACAAATCAATACGTATACAATATTATATAGTATATAATACGTAGCAATATATAGTATTATACGCAGTATCAATATGCGTATTTAATAATAATGACTTTCTTTAAAAATCAAAGTAAGGCATAACTATAAATAACAATGTGGAATTACCTTGCATTCTGAAACGAATCTGTGTTCTTAAAAAAACTTAAAATTCTTAGCTTTTCATAAATAAATTACATAAATTATCAAAGTCTGCAGACAGTATCATAGGTTTTATGGTTCCACAGTATGATGGATTTAAGTGTTCAATGTATCACTAGTGTAACTTTGAAGCTTAAATAATTTATTCATGCATCTTAATTTGTCCTTCAAAAATAATATTATTAAATAAACAAACAATGCTACATTTCATTGAGCTAGCGTGCGCATTATATGTAGTACAATAAATTGTATTTTCGATCTAATTTTGATGTGTCTTCTATGCCATTTCTATGGACATTCTCATGGACATTCCTATGGACGTTCCCATGACATTCCCATGGACGTTCCCATGGGCATTACCCATGGATATCACCATAGATAGACGTGTTCTTTTAAAATATTACTTCTCTTGATATCTTAATATGGTAAGCTTTTATGGAGTTTATTTGTTACTAGCTACCAATTACCAATTATTGTATAGTTACCAATTATTGTATTTTTTTTTTTGCTACTAGCTACCAATTATTGTATTCCAACTACCATAACTACCATAAATGCAATGCACATACTATGTATACCCTCTCTAAATACACACTTAATCTTTAGTCCAAAGCATATAGAGTATTTCATAAAATATTCTCTATAATTAACTAATTAACTAATTAACTAATTAACTAATAAATCTAATAAATGTAATAAATGCATACCCCCCTCTAAATGCTAGTCCCAAGGGGGTGCATTTACAGAAAGTTGACTGTATTTCGTATTTCGTATTTCGTATGACGATTATTAAAAAGGTCCAAGTTTCGTTAAAATTATTCAACGATTCTTAATTCATTATGTTTATTAACCAAATTATTATTAATTGATCTGCATTAATTATTAATATGGCTGATCTTTAAAAAGTTAAAGACAAAACTCGAAAAAAAAATTCTTAAAACGTATGGTGCATCAATTTACAAGATTAATCAGTTTAATCATCGTTGCGATGTCACAAATAATTGTTTTATATGGTACATAAATAAATCAAAAAAGTTTTAGAAAGTTTTATCAATTTTTTTTTTTATTATATTTGTTATAATGACTTATGACTTGATTAGAACCAAATTTCGTATACGTATTAGTAATAACAACACGAATTATAAACGAATTATAAACGAATTATATAACCAAATTATATAAACGAATTGTATAAACGAATTATATAACCGAATTATAATTATTTTTATATACCTAGGCTTATTAAATCCTTGGTATTAAAGTCTTTGGTATTCGACTCACATAATCCATCTATTATTATCTATTATTATCTATTATTATCTATGATTAATAATTCTACCTAATTAATTCATTTATAGCATCCAATGAATAAGATCCACGAACAATCATAAATGCTATTATGCTATTTGTTTGGCGATATGCAATTTTGACTTGGGCTAAATTTCGAATGTAACTTACATAACACAATTAATCACAAAATCACAATTAATCACAAGTAATCACAATTAATCATGGGATAAGTCATCGAACACCCCTTAAATGTTTCAATCTTCATCTATGAGATACGATATATCATTCATTTCTTTCGATCTTTTAAAGTTATTAAACATGTAAAATTATTAAGATACGCATATCAATATCACTATATCCAAAACCAAACAAATAAAAATAATAAAAATAATCTCAAAATCTTTTTAATTTCCAATTAAATTTCTTAAATTTCCATGTATCATCTCACAAACGACGAGGGAAAGCTTCTCAGAGGTTCTATTAAGGAAGGACATAAACAAATAAACAATTTAGTAAATCATGGAAACCCACGATAAATGTTTTTCCTGAAAAACTAACAATATGTAAGCATTCGTATTCACCTTTCACACATTGTCCTAATACAGCAAATAGTTACCTTTTGTGGGTTTGTGTCTTCTCATAAGACTTTCCATAAATGATAATGTCATCAAACTAAAAAAAAATCGTTTCTAGAGGTGTTAAAAACATTGGAATTTTTTTTTCATTTTATCATTATGATTGGTGATTCACCTTCCCATGAGAACGAATTATAACCAACTTTTTTGTTGATTTACTGTTTTATTAAAACTTTTTTTCTCTTTCCCCTTGTCAACATTATACAACCGATCATTATTTGATCTGTAATCGTATAAATAAATAGGTAATAATTTAATTTTGAGTATAACATGCATTTTTGAAGATCAAAAAGCAATTCGTAAAACTTAAATTTTTTTTATAATTTTTATAATCGATCAATTGAAGAAAATGATCCATGTGATTTCGTAATAACGTCATATAACTGCAATAAAAAAACGCATGGGTCTTTTTATGTTCTCGAGTTACATTAATTGGACATTTGGATGTTCGCTTCACTTAATCTGCGAAGCAGGTTCTTAATATTAATCGTCTGTACATCTTACAAGAACCATACAATGAACGTCGCTCAGGGTTAGTACTTTAAAAGATCTGCTTATTTACGTAAGATTATCACAAATAACGCATTTAAGTACGTACATGGCGCAGATTAAGGTTTGACATCGATGCCTCAGGCTTCGATTTAAATGATCTACTTTTCTATGCATGTCATGTGCCAACATTCGATAGATTCGATAGAATATCTTTAATTCGTTTTCTTTAATAACTTTTTTTGAGAATGTCATTGATGCTATTCAGGATAATTTTTGATTCTTAACTGGTAAATTTACCTGCATTACTTGAATTACTTGAACATCAAAAAAATTTTGAAATTTATTATTTAATAAAAAAAAAATAAAGTGAATTATGATATATAAATTCAAAACGTGTAACGATAACGAAATGTAAGATAAATAATTGATTTTTTTAGTAAATGTTGGTAAAAAAAAAGGCATCAATCAGCAAGAATGCAAGAATGAAAGAATGAAAGAATGGAATAGAATGTTTGAAAATAATACTAATTTACTCAATAATTTGATTATCTAATATCGATATTAATACCGATATTAATTTTGAGATCTCATGACACTATTTGCTACGTAGTTATTCTTTAATAAATCATTTTAATTATTTTAATTATTTTATTTTTAATCATTTAATAATGAATTATTTTTAAATTACTTTTGTTTAATGTCTTTAATTATCTTTAATCATCTTTCGGACAATTTAACTGTTAACTGCAAAATTTCTCATTAACGATATTTCGTTCCACGACCAATCTATAAAAAGTTATTTTTGATAAAATCGAACGAGATTTCTTTATCTTAAATGGTCGATTCCTGCATGCTGACGATGATTTTTTTCTCTGATTGTCAAAGAATTTAAATCACGATTCACTATTTCAATATACCTGCATAATGATGCATATTGACTCAACCT